AAATTTGGGAGTTATTTTTACTTTCATGCAGGCCTGAAGCAGTAGCAATCTTCTCCTCATCTCTGGGCAAGCTACCAAAGAGGCCTGGGCTTGTGCTGAGCCAAGCCCCATCTCCAGGACAGCCACACTCTGCTCAAGGGCTGGAATTCTCCTACCAGGAATTGGGACTATGTGAGGTTGGCCTGAGCTCCCCAAAAGCAAAGCAGTTTTTCCAGCTCCCCAAGGCCTACATGCAGGACAAAGCACCCAGTTAGGCAGATTGTCATTGCAGTGCCCAGCTGCGCTGCCAGCATTATCCTAAGGCAGGCTCCATCCCAAGGAATACTCTGACAGGCACATCAGGGCAGAAAATGGCCAAAGGACTGTGCTCACCAGCTGAGTTCCCTGAATGCAAAGGCAAGGGAAAAGGAGGACTGCTTCTGGCACTGGGAGTAAATACTCTCAATTAGAATCTGAACTGATGGGGCCCTCTGCACACTTGAGAAAGGAGAATCTATGAAAAACCATCCCAGAAGCTCAGCTCGGGTAGGCACAAAAGCTCTGCAGTGACCACATCTGTGCTGGAAGGGGAGCAGTGCCACAGAGAACACTCACTGTGTGTCAGGACAAGTCCTGCCTCAAGAATGAGGGAAAGCAGAAAAGGAGAGGCTCAAGAATTTACCAGATTTCTAAAAAAACAGCAGGATTTGGTCAAACAATTTGAACCAACAACAGAAATTGTACCTGTTCCAGTCCAGATTCAACCAAGATTTCAAACCAACACTTTGCACTGAGTAAATTAACACATTTTCATTCTTAAAAAGAAACAAACAAAAGCAAATAAACTATAATTAAACTCACAATCTGCCTGATTTGATATCACTTTTACTTCAAATATTGGAATACGTGACGTAAAAAACCCCCACAAGACGGAATGTTTGCTTCCCAAGATTCTATCCAGAGCAAGACACCATTCTGAAGTACCCAAAACAAACCCGTTATTATTTGAGAGGATAAATGAGTATCAAACTCATTAACAGCCCCATAAGTAAGTACACAACAAAATAAACAGTCTCACAGATTATAAGCAAACATGATACAGGCTGTGGCTATGGTAAGTCAGCCAGGAACAGCACTGAGCTCACAGAGACCCTGGAAAAATACTGCTACTCAGCAAATTACAGTCTAGACAGTCTCCTCTTTTCCCAGAGGACATTTATTTCCTCCTAGACAGCTGCAAACACTACAGAAAAAACCTTAAAAGCAACCTGCCCAAGAAACACAATCAGATCTTCAAACAAACCTTTCTTAGGACGGGGTTTTGTTGGTTCTGCAGCCGCTGGCGATGAAGAAACCTGAAAAGACAGAAACCAGGAGTAGTAAATAGACCAGGCAAGGTTTCTTGGAAGCTTCGTTCCAGAAAATAATCAGAAAGGACAACTGGCAAATCCCAAAGGAGGGAACAAAAATAGCAGCATTGCTGCTGGACAAACTCTGCCCTGCCAAGCAAGGCAGAGATTTCTGCTCCACAGCTCGATTAAACAAACACCCTCATTGTGCAGCACATCCCTGTTGGTGGGGTCACTTCTCATCCCGGGAAGGGATCTTTACCTTGCAAAAAAAAATAATACTGGAGCACTTAAGAACCTAATTAGAGATCACACAGAAAATAAGTCAAAACCATTTATTGTAAAACATTTATGAAGTTAATTAGGGCAAAGCTGTTCCCATGTGAGTGCACAGGATGTGAGCACAGGGATGTCCCATCACATGGAGGGCAGGGAACCTCCTCCAGCAAACACTGGCCAGAGCTCCCAGCCTGTGGAAAATACATTAATTTTATATGATTTTCTTACTTTGCATCAACCATCAAACCTTCATGGAAGAGGAATGGGTTTATACAGGAAAGTATTTTTATTTTTCACTCTGCTTTTTGGGAAGACAAAATACAGGATTTTATACACCTGTGTCACATCCCCGCTCTTTTATAAATAATTTTTAAAATCAGAGATTCAGACAATATTTGCTCCTTGCAATGTTTTGGGAACATTTTCTAATTGCATCTTTTTTTGTACTGGAGACGGGGCAGATCAGAGAGGCTGAGACATGAAAAATAACCCAAGAAAGGCTCTTCCTTTTTAAAATTTTTTTACTGTTTACTTTTTTGTTTCTTAACAGTTTCTAAAATTTTATTGACTTTTCTGATTCCTATTGTGAAAAACTGAGCTGCTATTTTCATGGATTTACCCAACTCTGAGCACTCCATCCTCAGCAGGAATAAGCAGCACAAACACCTCATTGTTTTATTGTTTTACATATTTCAATTTTTTTTTAACCTGCACACCCATCATTCTGAGTCCTCTCATTCTGCTCTGTTAAGACTTTCTGGAAGTTTCTCCTATTTCCTCCTCACCTGAGTAACTTTCTACCCATCTTTTTGTCCAGATCATTTCTAAGTACACTGAACAACCCAGGCCGCGTACTGACCCCAGCGGGGCTCCACAGCAACCCCAAAAAACTAAGGAATGATGGAATGGCTTGGGTTTGAAGGCACTTTAATGATCATTTCATTCAGCCCTCTGCCATGGCCAGGGACACCTCCCACTGTCCCAGGGTGCTCCAAGCCCTGTCCAGCCTGGCCTGGGGCACTGCCAGGGATCCAGGGGCAGCCCCAGCTGCTCTGGGCACCCTGTGCCAGGGCCTGCCTACCCTCACAGGGAGGAATTCCTTCCCAATATCCCATCCCTCCGTCAGTTTGAAGCCATTCCCTGTGTCCTGTCCCTCCATCCCTGGTCCCCAGTCCCTCTCCAGCTCTCCTGATCCCCCTCAGGCCCTGGCAGGGGCTCTGAGCTCTCCTGGAGCCTCCTTTTCTCCAGGCTGCACACGCCCAACTTCCTCAGCCGCTCCTTGTGCTGCAGCCCCTTCCCCATCTCCATTACTTTTCCCCTGCTCCAGCACCTAATAATCGATAATTAATGTTGATTACTTCAGCACAGGCTGAATTTCCCTCACGTTTTCCATACCAAGCGTGCAGATTAAAAACTCGCTCTTCAAAAGAACTTCCCGCCGCCGCCGCCGCCCTTCACCTCTCCTCCGGTCCCTCGCCCCTCCCGTCCCTCTCGGTCCCCTCAGCCCGGGCGCCTCTCTCCCCTCACCGTGGCGTCCTCTGGCTCCGCCATGGCCGCGGCGGGCCGGGGTTGCCATGGCGACCGCCCGCCACTTCCGGCGCGGCCATGGCGCGCGGGGCACGGCGGGAAGGGGGTGGCGGGGGGGCCCCCCCCCCCCCCCATCCCGGCCCCCGTCTAACCTGAAAAACACCCGAAAAACCACAGAAATAATAAAATGTCAGGCTTTTGGAAGGTTTTATTGGGAACTCCGCGATGTAGAGGGAAATGAGGCCGCCAGTGAGGAGGGATAGCCCAGGAAGCGCTGAGCGGCCGCGGCCCCGCTCCCTCCCCGCCCCACAGCAGCAGCAGGGAGGGAGGTTGGGATGGCGGATTTTGTTTATTTTCCTTTGTATTTCTGCAGTGTCTGTGGGAATGGTAATTCACCTGCGAGCGCCTGAAGCCCGGAGGAAAGGAACTGCAGCAGGTTCTCCCTCAGAACAGGGCTCTGTCATTGTCTTTAGGTTTGCCGACAGCCATCGGGACCGAGGACGCCACAGACCGCGTTTCCTCTGCAGTGGAGTGCCCACATCCTCGGCGTATTCCTTTCGGGAACACGGAGTGAAAACCCAACCTCTGTGCTTGCACCTGCCCAGCCCAGCTTCCAAGTGTTTCACCGCACGGAGGGAGAATTCCCAACGGGAATGGCACGGACGGATACGGGCAGGGCCGCTCCCACGCAGCAGCTCTGCGCCATCCCACCCCTCCAGCAGCAGCAGAACAGCGCAGGGAAAGCGGCTGCACTCCCTCGCGTTTGATTTCCAGGGCAAAAAAAGGGAAGAGCAGGTATACAGAGACAAAACCACATCCGTGGAATGTCGGCAGGAGCAGTGAGGGAGCCGAAGTGAGCCCGCTGCCAGCTGGAAACAGCATCCCGTGTTACAGCCCTGCCTGGGATCTGCCTTTTTATCTGATCCCTTCACAACTTCCATCCCCTGGAAGAAGGCAGAGCGGCTGGAGGCTTGGAGGACACTTGCCTGGCGAAAAATACCACAGAAGGAATTCCTATACAGGAGTAAATTTAATAAAACCACCACCAATTGTTTACTTTAACATAGCTCTTGTTACAGAAATCATAAAAATGGACTCAGTAGCTAAACTCATTAGTTCTTTCCCCTTTTAATTGAAAAATACTCCGCTGATTTCAGCTTCTACTGCACTAGATGGAGTGTTAAATAGTTGCCAGGACAGGACGCCCAGTGATTGAGCCCAAAACAAACACAAAGACAATTCCATCAGCTTTCCTTTTCAATGTTACGACTCGTTATAATGAAGTGAAAATTAAAACAGCAAGAAAGGGTCCATTTGACAGATGAAAGGTGGAGGGAGAGGAGATCCACAGCCGAAATCTCGCAGGAAGTCTTTGGAGAAGTGGTGCAAACCACCCCTCCTCGTCCTGCCTCGGGATCCAAAACAAACCTCTGAACACACACGCACAAACACACACACACACTCACACGCCTCCTCTGGGATCACAGCACGTGTCCTGCGTGCACCACTGGGAACAGAGCTGGATTTGGGCAGGTAAAGATCTGGGGCCAAAAATAAACCAAGAAAAAGGCAAGGCATCCTGAACCAGAGCTCCAGGAGCTGCGAGGGGCCGTCCGTCGCCAGCAATGGATACACACACAGACCTGGGGGAGGCCCTGGACAGAAAGGAACTGCAGGAAGAGGAGAAACCCAACTGCTCTGGAAAAAGCCTTCCAAAAAGAAGAAGAAAAAGAAAATATATATATATAGATATATTCACTACACCAGCACACGCTTCCCCCACCCCAGCCCAGGGAAAAAAACCAAAACCAAACAAAAGAATCAAACTGAAAGAAAATGCACAGCAAATAGACATAATCTTGAAGATTTTTAAAGAATAAATATTTTTTTGTAATTAAACATTATGCAAACACGTGCCACGCTTGCTCTTTGTCCATGCATATGCGCTATATACAACTTTGAAAAATACTGTGTTGTCCTCTTTTTGTTTTAAAAGTCATATACAAAGGTTGGGTTTTTTTTTTTCCTTGCTGTGTACCCCCCTCCTTCCCTCCCCAAAAATCCTCTTTACAATGAGCCAATCCACATTCATCCATGTATTTGGGCAGAGAGGAGGAGGGGGGCGGGAGAGCCGCCCCCCTTACCAAAGTCCATCAAAATGGCTGGTTTGGACATGAAAAGCAGTGTCAAGAAACTGGTTTAGGTTTCATCTGTACTACACACAGGAAAAGAAAGAGAGAAAAGAAAAAGGAGTCGGCTTGGAGGATGAAGCTACGTTACAAGTTAAAGTTGGAGGGTTTTTAGTGCGTCTGTCACACTCTTGGCCGCCTAGAATACTGTTGTACAATGGTTTATCTACCTTTTTTTTATTACAATATAATTTACTTAATTTTTCTGTTAACAAAACAGAATCCCGGTACTACAGACCAGCGGTGTAAGAGGCGGAGCAGCGCCCTGGGTGGGTTTTATTGGAATTGCATGAGCACTCTAGGATGGGAAAGGGTTCAGAGTTCATTGCTGCGGGGCCGGGCTCAGTCCTCGATGTACTCCCACAGGTCCTTCTCGTAGCCTTCATGCACGTGCTGCAACAAAACCCTCCGCCGGCTCTCGCAGTATCTGAGGGGACAGGGACAGCATGGAAAAGGCACGTCAGGAATCATGGAGCATCCCTGGCACCGAGTTATCCAAACCTACAGCATGCCTCACTTCCTGTCCCAGACTACAAGGCAAAATGGATTCTATTTGCCATCTGGATGGCAGTTGTCTCCTGTTCAGTGGGCAGTTTTCCTTATCTCTTCCACAGCCACTCCTTCCTGGGGGGACATCTACTGATAACAGGTTATGGAATGTCACTGCATGGCTGATGAGAACTACAGCATCCACTGGGAGATGTGAGCCCAGAGAGGAGCCAGGTGGGGGGCAGGGGGGGGTTTACATTCTCCATTTCAGGGGAAGCTCCTGCCCTCCTTAGCAAGTACCTGTCTTTCCAAACCGAGACACTTCCAAAAGAGGTGATCCCCCGAGAAGGAGTTTGTATTTACAAGCCCATTAACAGCACTAATTAAGTCTTTGGTTGCTCCAGTCACTCAGCTGCAGGTCCCTGGCTGGAAAACCAATGTGCAAATTCAGAGTTTTTCAGGTAAAAGTATCCCCAGAGCCTCTACAACTGAGAAACCTTCAGGAATAACTGGAAGAGGAGGAAGCAGCAGCTGTGGTTTGAAAAAGACTGAACACAGGTTAGTGGAGACACACGGAATGCAATGAGCTCTCCTCAAACATGGGCTGGTGCCTGCTCTAAGCCCCATCAGGACAACAAAAACCCATGTGGTAGCTGGGAAAAACTAGCTGGAGGTGTTCAAGGCCAGGTGGGATGTGGCCACCTGGTCTAGTGGAAAGTGTCCCTGCCCTTGGCAGAAGGTGGAAGAATATTTAAGATTTCTTCCAACCCAAACCAGTGCACGATGAAAACCTCAGGAGCACTGACACAGTTTTATTTCCCAGTGGACATGAAAGCAGTCCAAATGGTTACTGGTCTGGCTGGAGAGCAGGTTTCACCTCACATCCCAACATGTGGCTCTCAGAGGGACACTTACACCCAGGGAGCATTCCCACCTACGCTGATGTGAAAATGCTGCACATAAAACTGATCCAAGAGCCCTTCCAGGATCACTGATCCTGAGGAAAAGGGACCTCACATAACACAGCAAAGGATGCCATTTTGGGTGTGTTAGAAGACAAAAACCACAGGAACACTGAACAAATTCAGGTTCCAAGAGCAAACTCTAAATAAGCACCTGAGAGGCAGACACTCCTCAGGAGAAACGTCCCAGTGGGAAGCTATCCCTGACCACAACACACACTAACACCTGGCAGGAATTCCTCACCTACTGCTCAGGACCTTATCAGAGTGACTGATTTATCCATCAGAGCAGCTGTGGCTCCCCTCACTGCTGTCAGCTGGTGCAAGAGAAACCCCCGTACACACAGTCCCATTGATTTTCAGGAGCATGTGATGGCAAACACGCGGTCTCTGCTTTCCAAACTTTAGTTATTTTTCTGCTGGATGGGTGTGGGGGGCTTAATCCTGTTTTCTAGATATGTCTTTGCAAGCAAAGAGATCCAAACAGCTGAAACTAAACCAGCCTGGAGGGCAGTTCCTGCAGCTTCCCAGAGCTCTGTAAACCCACCTCAATGACATCCTGCTCCCAGTCTTGCATCAAAGGGCACCATGCAGGACATGATTAAGACATGACTGAACTGGTTAATCAGGGACCTGCACGGGCTTGACAGATGTATTCTTTCTTCCCAGAAGTGTGAAGGCAGGTTTGGGATACTGTTTCCAAGCAATTCAGGCTATATTAGCTTGTCATTTCACCCCTACAAAAGCATCAAGGTTCAGAGGACTGAAGTAAACAAGCAGCTTCATCTGAAATATCGAATTAATGGTGGCCTTAAAGGGTAAATTACAAAAACAAGGTCAGGAAAGTCTTTTCCAGCCCCAGCTGTGCTGCCAAAGTTGGGCAGGATGAGCCACCAAATCTTAACAGCTCCTGCCACGCCCCCCAGTCCACTGAGTCCTGCAGCTCACCCTACTTTGGATATTTTCTTCCCCCTAAGCCAGGCATAACAAATTCAGTGATTTTGGCAAAATGCCTCAGAAATGCAAGCCCTAATCCTGTGACTCATCCGCATTTTCAGCTTTGTACTTTTCCACTGTGCAGAAATCATTCCCCTGGGACTGAACAAAGCACTGGCATCTGTGTCACCTGGACCCCAGTCCCCTGCTCCCCTTCCCAGCTGGGCAGGCTGCTCTATCCCTCTTCCTCAGGGACAGCTTTCCTACACCCACGTTTTGCACAAATGGACCCAGCAGACAATTAAAAGAGCCAATTGCTCTCTGCTGGCAGCTCATCCTAGGCCAAAGCTGGCAGCTTGGAACAACAAAGTCACTCCTTGTTCTTTGGCCCTCACTCTGTGGATCCCATTCTGGTGCTGGCCATTCCCACATGCTCCTTCTGTGCAGGAACAGCAGTGTACTGAGAGCCACTGCTTCTGGACACAGGATTTTTTCCATTCCGGGGTTGGATCTTCCAGCTCCTGCTCTGCAGAGCAGATGGAAGGCAGAGCTGGGAGCCTCGCCCCACAGGCTGTCACCTCCCCTGAGAGCTGGTCCCAGCAGGGACACAAAAACACACTGCCAGCATCTGTGTGAGGGCTCCAGCAGAAGGATCCGGGGCTGGCTCGGGACAGCGCTGCTGCTCTCAGATATCCAGGGACTGGCTGATCACAATGGGTGGCACAAAGCCAAGAGCAAACAGCTTCCCAAGGATGTGGCTCTGGAGAAACTGTATCTTGGCAAGTGCTCAGGTCATTACCTGACACAGAGCATGGCAACACTCTGGCTGCTTAGAGAGAAAGGAGTATTCCAACACAAACCTGTACTTATCCTGTACTTTCTGCTTTATGTCTTGCAGCGAATCTTGGGATATATCTCGCTCCAGGTACCCAGAAAGCACCTCTGTAGCATTCTCTAAGTCTGCTTGGTTATTCTGTAAAGACAAAAGAAAAAAGTGTTCGAGGGGGGGTAAAGAAAAGGGGGAAGATTTTTATTTCAGAGCTATTGGAATCAGTACCAAAATAAAAAAGGATTACATATAATAGAATCTCAGACTGACTTCGGGTGGAAAGGGACATTGAAACTCATCCAGTTCCATCACTGCCATGGGCCACCTTCCACTAGACCAGGTAGCTCCAAGCCCCATTCAACAAGGCCTTGAACACTACCAGGGATGGGGCAGCCATGCTTTTGTGATTCTGTGGCTCCTCCAGCACACAATCCTACACAATGCCCAGAGAGCCTCTAACTTCTGCACGAAAGAATATTAAACCAGAATAAATTAGGTAAAAGTGAGAACTAGAGGCCTCCAAGCATTAAATCTTATTTCCTCAGTTTTACAGTTTGAATTCCTGACAACCCCATTTTCTCTTACCTCAAAGATAATGGACTGATTATTCTTTTTGAGGTAGAAGGCAAAGACGTAAGTGTACATGAGTGTGGCACGACACTGGCAGAGGACGTCGACTGCTTTCTTCAGGAACTGCACCTCGATCCATGACATGTTGTGCTGCTGCATCTCCTCCATCTTCTGCTTCACCTGAGCGTAGAGCTTGTGCTCGAAGCGCAGGCTCTGCATGTGGTTCATGTAGCGGTTGCAGTAGAACAGGTACCTCTGCAGGGCTGCTCGGGATCGCTGTGTTAATTCCCATTAGGGAGAAAGAAAACAAATAGTTAAAACAAAGTAATGGCTGTAAGAGAAAGTAAACCCTTCACAAGGCTCTTCCTGATCCTGAGAATGAGCTTCCTTTCCAAAGGAGGCTCCTCTCCCGTCATGTTGGGCAGACGGCTCCGCACGCCCCGCTAACCCTGGGAAGAGCCCCAGGCACTTCCCAGCACAGCTCTGACATCCTCACTCCCAACCTTGGAAGCAATTACAATCACACTACTCAAGCCCCATCACTTTTGTATTTCAGCCTCTCGACTCGAGGTACAGCACTCACATGCTTCCAGTGTCATGACAGAAGTGAGAAGATGATGTTTTGTTGGGGGTTTTTTTGCTAATAAGGAATTCTAATTACTGTGCTTGTGCTAAGAGGGCAATCTCAGGATGATTATAAAGCAGGGGAAAGGCACCGTGTGCTAAATAGTGCAAGAGAACCAAGATGACTCAATACACAGTCATTAATCTTATTTTCTTCACACTGACAGACCAGCTGTAAAAAAATAACACCACGGGCATGGTTCAACTTGTGTGCTCTGGATGTACAAAGGTAGCACATAGCAGGCAAAACCATCCCTATCTTAAAAGTCAAAAGACTTAACTGTCCTTTGGATTTGTGCCCGAATCCGTGAATTCCTTCAGAGCAGATGTGTAGGTCTACAGAAAGCACAGCACAGGGCCGATGATCTCCCTCATCACCAAAGGTTATGGACTCACCTCCTGTGCATCCCTTGCTGCCTTTGCATCATCCTCATTGTAGCGATTACAGTTGTACCTGTAACAGGGACACCGATTCCACAGATTTCAGTCCAAATCCATGCCGTTTGCACCACGACCTCCTCGCCTTCCAGCAAGGCACGTTCCCGAACTCACCAGGCAGATCCGTGGGGCTCCCAGGGGCCCAGACACACCCAGCAGAACTCCGCCTTGCAGTTCTGGTTCCGACAGACCATGTGGTTGCAGCCCCCGTCCTTCTCGATGGTGACGTGGCATTTCGGGCATTCCTGTCCACAGGACAGAGAGCACCGTTAGCAGGGCAAGCACGGAACCCCAACAGCCTGGGGAACTTGGAAGGGTTCCCACGGCAGTCAGACAGAGCACGTCAAGTGAAATACATGATTTAATTCTTCCCTTTGGACATCGAGATCCTCTTCAGTCAGGCCTTAAAATACTTCCAAACCCGGAGCAGTTAGATAGAAAAAAATTTAAGGAATAACATATTTTATCTATGCTGCTCTCACAGAGGGACACTGGGTGAGTCACTTCATGACCTTCCCCAAAATCCTAGCAGAGAGGTGGTCTCTAAGAGCCTGGGAAGCATGTGGCTTTCCTCACCACCAAGTGTCTGGTCCACTCTGGGACTGAGACCAAGCCGGAATCACGCTGTTACCAATCCTGCAGCTGTAACATGCCATCCAGAGAGGAGCTGAAAACATGCAGCAAGACTCTAGTGTGCTTCAAAGAAGCTGCTGTCAGCTAAAAAGACACTTCTCTTCCTGAGGTGCTTCCATGTTTCCCGTCAGGTCCCTTTTTTCCCTTCATGTGACACCTCACTGAAGACTTTTCCATAAAAGCTCACATGGGGTTTCCCTTTCAGGAGTAAGGCTCTTGACAAATGTGAGTATCTCAAAGGGCAGCTCTGCACAGGGAAATATCTGGGGAATATAACACCAATATCATGGTCTCCATGAGCTTAGAAATTAACAGATCAAGAAAGCAGCAAATACAAAGGAAAAAAAACTGCATAAATAAAACCAAAACCATTTTAGGCTGAATCAGCTCCTCATCCAGCTCATCCCACAACCACAGCAGCGTTCATGAAGTTTCTGCACAAGCCAGTTTTTATATATAATACAATAACAAACATATCCAAACCAGTGATCCACACACCTGTGAAATCAGCTGAAGCTTTTGGGTCAGCATCATGTGAAATCCCCTCCCCAGTCTGGAGCACATCTTTGATAACCAAAGCAAGCAGCTCCTACCATGGCATTCAGATAAACTCTCAGCAAAGGAAGAAACCAACATGCACAATCACTCCATGACTGCTCCTTCTAGGACAGAATCCAATGGGTTTTTGTACACCCACTCTGAGTGTCCCAACTATTACTGCGTTTCATATGAGTTTTCCAGTTTGTATTGTCACAATCAGGAGAATCTGAACATCAAACCAACAGGATCAAGCAGCAACCAAGCATAGAAGAGGGATTTTCCAGACCTGTCTTTTTCCCAGTCATTTGTGTTTGTTCTTCAGACTCAGTAACTGTACTACAAACAGATTAAGTGAAGCACAGTAGCTCCTGTGCTGGTCCCTTCAAGGGCACAACACCAAGATGTTCCCTAGGACTGTCACAGGATGGATACTCAGCCAGGGAAGCTTGTTCCCAGTTAGTCAGTCAGTTTTGTGAACTTCAAAGTCGAAACTGGTCCCTCCTTCAAGCAAATCACTCAGGGCAGCATCTATTTCCCTTATCCAGGCAGCACTCCTCCCTCTTCCAATCCTGCACCAACAAGTCAAGACTCAAATTCAGGTTTATGCCAGCAATGTCCTCCCCAACCGTGCAGATCCCTGCTCAGTCTGCTCATAAGCCAGGGTGGCTCTAAGTACAGACAGTGTCCCTGTCCCACCATGATGACCCTGGGCTGCACAGCCAGAGGAGGTTGTGGAGCTGAGCAGCGCTTCCAGACACATCTCCTCCCATCAGGTGCCCACATCACTGTGGGAGGCGCAGCTGATCCACACAGCTGCCGTGGTCCCTCCTGCTGAGCAAAATCCTACAGCTGAGAGAGGGAGAACAGGCCTCAGGTGACATGCCAAGCTGGAGAGGTGCCACAAGCACATATCCACAGCACAGGGACCTGGGGCCATCTCACCCCCAGCAAGGCTCCATCAGGAGCATGGAAATTCTGCCCTTCCTTCAGGTGGGACCAAGCTTTCCAGTGTGTCCACATTGCTCAGGGCTTTGAGCACTGGAATGCAAACTAGGACAAAAAGACCCTTTCAGTGTCTCAAAGGGCTCCAGGAGAGCCTGGAGAGGGACTTTGAACAAGAGGGAATGGCTTCCCACTTCCAGAGGGCAGGGTTAAATGGGATATTGGGAAGGAATTCTTCCCTGGGAGGGTGGGGAGGTCCTGGCACAGGCTGCCCAGTGCACCTGTGGCTGCCCCACCCCTGGAAGTGTCCAAGGCCAGGCTGGACAGGGCTTGGAGCAACCTGGGATAGTGGAAGGGGTCCCTGCCCATGGTGGGGGTGGAACTTGATTTAAGGTCCTTCCAACACAAACCATTCCATGATTCTAGGATCTCATTCCAGCCCTTTTCTCACAGGGAATGCCATCCTTTTCAAGCTTTTATGCTCCTGTCGAGCAAAGCACAAGGAAGAGGTGACACAGTATCTGTGCAAATCCCTAAAGCTGTGTAAAAGTGTAACATTGAATATTATTAAAAATTAAAGCCCTGAAAAGCACACACTAAAGAAATGCTGCACACCAACAGAAAAAGAAGTAGCAACTACTCCTATCAGCAACAGAACAAGTGGGAGAGATTTATAGATTAATGAGGACAGAAAAGGAAGATCTCCCTGAGAATTACAGCTATGCAACAACCCAACAGGCAGCAAATCAAGTTACTAAACCTGCAGATTATTGTGCACATTATCAGTCACAGCACAACACAGAAGTGACCTCATTAACATTGTTCCACTTCAAACAATTCCGTACTGGGCTTGGAAACAAAAGCCTGGGCAAACCTGGCAATGGAGAACAATCCTGATTTTGTTGTAGAAGTCCATGCATACATAAAAGACCATAAACCTCAGCTGCTCTTTTATTAACAGGAAGCTAAACAGAAACATGTTTCTTGTTTCAGGGCAAGTGAAAGAGATTAGTCCTTTCCAGAACTCCCAGAGGAACTGATGGACATCAGCCTCCTACAGCCACATTCACATCAGCGCCTTCACCTCTAGCCCACCCTAGAAAAAGAATCATCAAAAACCACAGGGATTTCTTAATGAATTTCAACAAAACCCAAAAACTTAATTATGGCTAGCACAAACAGTACACCATTCTAACACCTGGAGTCACAGAGCAAAACTTTTTTAAACAGATTTGAAACATCAGTTCATCTGAGAAAGGGAGATGGCACTTGGGCACCTTCAGAAAAACACAGATCATGGCTCCGGCACAGTGGGAAATGAAGGAGCACAGTTTGGTGCTGGTGCTGGAGGATTCCATGTCCTGCCAGGATTTCCATGCATTAGAACAAATGCAGGATGTCCAAAAAGTACAGAGGGAGCACTTTAAGCCATTAAAAAGTGATCTGAAAAGGGAGAGATGTGGGCTCATGTCATTTTATCTCATGCACAGGAGAAAAACAGCCAATGGTTCTTTTGGAGAAGAAAATGTGCCTGGTTTATCCATCAGCCCTTCAAGCTCTGTCTGGCCTGCAAAGGAAGGATGGGGATGTGCCAGGAGCCAAAGAAGCAAGGCTGGGGCTTTTTTAGTACCAGATTAACAACTTTCATTAACACCAATTTAAGTTCCACAATAAAAAGCAGTGCTTTGTGTGCAGGCCAGCACTGTCACCATCTCTGTTCTTTTCCCTTTGGTATTCCAACAAGCAGAGATTAAAATCACACTCAGGTTCCAAACAGGTTTCCCCTCCTCCTTTTAGACACTCTTGATACACCTTAAGAGCCCAAAATAAATGCACAAATCCAAGTTGTCTCTATTTTTCACTCCTCTGCATGTCCACTTGATGAAAGTAATGGATCTCTGTGGCTCCTTTATTCCCAAATACCCCAAACCTGTCAAGTTTAACTCAAGAGAGGAAGAACCAAGTTTGTCAAATAAACTGAAAAAGGAAGAAATGTGCAAATCCTTGGGCTATTCAATCCCGTTCCTCAACAAGACTGAGAATTACAGGCTTGATAAAAAACTTGCATTGCCTTATCTCAACTTTAAATTAATCTAGTTAAGCTGAACTCATGTGAAAGTAGCTTATTTTAAGAAAAAAGCCATCTACTCCAGCACATTCTGCTGCAAGGGCTGTGTCTTTTGTACAAGTAGAAGGAATTTAGGTCTCCTAAGTGCAAGTAAATGAATGCAAAAGAATAAAAAAATCGTACCAGAAACCACAGAACTCACTACTCGAACTTCCTCGTTTTTCATTCAGACCACTCTACATAATTCATCAAAAAATGCATCACATCATTCCAGTTAGGGAACAGAACCCAATTCAGCTGGGTTTCACTCTTCTGTTCTCTCACACAATTGTCTAATCTTCCTTTCCAGCTCCATCTCCCAGGACAAGCCGGAACAAATGTATCTCACATTCTCCTGTTGCAAAGGATTATCCAGACTTCAAGCCCACATTCCAGAGGATTGGTATTTCTCTTTTACACCTTCATCTTGGTATGACAGGAAGTCTCCTTCCCTGAGAGGAGCCCACATGGGACAGGATTCATGCCTGGATGGCTCCAGAAAGCGCTTTCCAAAAGCCAGAAGCAGCAACGGAGCGCGTAGTCACAGCTGAATTCCTTGGAGAGCTGTTCCCACTGATAATGGGGATTTCTGCACCTGATGGCACCTGATTCCTTTCTAGGTTCTTCAAAATGAAGTTCAACACAGAATTTAGGCTGTGAAGACAACAGATGCAGGCACAAGTTGTGCCTCACCAAACACAGCTGCCTTGCTTTCCTGCTAGAGCAGTACAGAGAGAAAGGAGGGATGGAGACACACTCCAACTGCACAATTCCCATCCCAGTCTGTCACTACAGCCCCACACCCAGACAGCCCTGGGGTTTCTCCATGCCATGGTCAGGGATCAGCAGGGAAGCAAGGCAGGAGATGGATGCAGCCCCACGATCCCGGGCTGACCTGGCTCTCTGGAGGCTGCAAAGCTCCCAGGACACACATCCCAGAGGCCAAAGCTGGAGATTCCCACCTTCCCCAAGGCAGGAATCAGCATGCGAGTGGGTTACTCTTCCTGCCAACTTTCCCCTCAATTGAATCCAGCATCAGCTCAGAGAGAAGAATGCCATATTGTCCTTCAGTTAATTCAATGGATATGGATGCTGTAAGACTCCAGGACTGTTGGCTTGCTCAAATGTCTGGAGTAATTACCCTGATGGCAATTTTTCTCCCTGTTGCAGCCTGGGCTCCTAAGTATTCCCATGCAGGAATGTCTGGAACAGTATTAAAGGAAGTAGCTTAGACAGTGATGTCCCAGGACACCTCTGCTGCTCACAGCAGACTAGAGGTACCAATGAAGAAGCACGGCTGGTGCCAGATGCCACCCTCCAGATGGGTGTTTCTCCCCCTCCCAAAAATCTTCTTATTCCCAAGGCAGGGGCAGGTACAACATGCAGAACCCCAAGATCTTGAGGGCTTTAACAGGCCAAGTAGGGCTGCTGCTGTTCCAGTGTGCCAAATACGTGAGACCCAAGGCTAGCAGTGCTTACACTCTGCCTTTTCCAAGCTATTTGCTGCTCTTCCTCAGGTTTAATAGGAGCAGTCCCTGAACACCCAGCAAACTCCAGACAAACCTGGTTCAGTCCCCGAGCCACTTTGGAACACACCGAGACAAAGCCAAACTCCCTCTGGTGACTCTGTGAGCTCCAAGCAGGGCCCACTCCGGGCTGATCTGAGCTGCACAGCAGGGGTTTCTCTGCCACCATAACACAACATTCCAGCTCGATGAAAACCAGGCAGCCAGCCCCGGAAAGCAGCGAGGCTGCTGCAAACAATGCCATTAACCACTTACACAACAGAGCTAAGAAAACAAAGCAGCCATTTCCTCACTCCCTCCCCACCTTCCTCCTTCAGCTGGGAGCCCCAGGCCTGCTCCTCACCCCCATGGGATCTGCTGCTTTTGTGTCCTTGTCACCATGACCATCTTGGTTTTAATTTGTCCCAAAATGATCAAATGCTAAAGTTTCAGGCAAAGTTAGGCTAAGTAGAAGGAAGACCTTTACATAATGAAATCCCAGACAGCTGTTCTCTGCCAGTCTCCACCTGGAATGCTGCCCAACAGAAATGAAGGCTCCTCCGGAGGCCAATCCCAGGCATTTGAAGGCAGATGTAAAAGATCCCAGCCAAACTGAGCCACGGGTGGTGCTAACATGTTCCACACACGGAATGGGCCATGGATTTGCTTAGGGAAGCCACCGGTGCCAGACAGGAGCCCAAAGACTTAAATCTTGAGCTTCCTTTGGGTCTCCAATTAACTGTTTCTTCCAAGCACTTTCCTCCACTGACCTTGAAGAAACTCACCTGATTCCAGGCATTAACACCTGTTCATTCTTCAAACAAGAGCACTTGAGTGTACTGTGGATTTTAAGGCTTGCTCTTAACAGGGAACAGAAAAGGCAATCCTAGTGCAAGGAATTAGATTGATGTCCTTTTCACCTGACAAATCTGTATAAAATCCTCTATATAAAATAGGAGAAAACCTCTCACCTTTGTGTTGGCTGCAATCCAATTGGAGGTTTCACTGTCATCATCACACTTCTTAATCCATTTCTTCAACCACTGTCAGAAAAATGATGGAAGAAGAGCATTAAATCTAACTGGAGGAACTGTAAATGTTCCCAAGACACCTGCTCACATTAAGGAAGGGTACACCCAGCCACATGGGAACTGGGGAGTGTTGGTGCTGGAAAACTGTGCAAACAGCCACTAACTTAGTGGCAGACAGTTCCTGCAGCTCCATCCTGATCCAGCAAGCACAAGCACCCAGCACAAACACTCCTGCAATGAGTTTGCAGCTCTTAATCAACACAAACTTCATGCTGGACTCTTAAATAATAAGGACATTTTGGCTTTGGGGTGACTAATTGTGGCCTTCCAGTACCTGAAAGGAGCCTACAAGAAAGATGGAGAGACTGTTTACAAAGGCCTGGAGGGACAGGACACAAGGAATGGCTTCGCACTGCCAGAGGGCAGGGATAGATGGGATACTGGGAAGGGATTGATCCCTCAGGGGAGGCACTGGTACAGGCTGCCCAGAGAAGCTGTGCCTACCCCATCCCTGGATGTGTTCAAGGACAGGGCTTGGAGCACCCTGGGCTAGTGGAATGTATCCCAGCCCATGGCAGGCTGTGGGACTAGATAATCTCTGAAGTTCCTTCAAACCAAACCAGCAAAACCAAATTAGTTCCTCCAGTACAACAGATCACGCCTGACAAACCATCAAACACCTACAGGAACAACTCCTACAGGAATGCCCCTTGTCCAAAAAACACCTTCACTCCTCTGCAGGGGACACAGGTCTAACAATTCCTCTTCCAGACAATTCCCCCCGGATGAGGCACTTTTCCCACACAAGGTCCAACTGTGAGGCAGCAGTAAAGGCACCCAATAGGATTTCACTGCTGCTACTCACCCTGTGATTCAAACAGGTGAGTTACTCAGCTCCCTAGTGAGAACAACAAATGGGTTCAATAATCCCTGGGGGTCCCTTTCCAGCTCAGAATTATCTATGATTCTATGGACAGCCACAAAAACTTGGGCTTCGTTGCTAAGTCTTGCACATAAATCTATTTTAAACTTTTTCAAAACACAGATTTGGACAAGAAACTTGATGTGCTCACCTTGCATTTAACAGGATCATGCCAGTTTTCACCACAGTTAAAGCTGTAAGGGAAAGAAAGGAAAATAAACAGGGCAGATGATTGTACTTGTAATTAAACAGTTTAAGTTTCCTTCTGGGTTGTTCAAAGCCAGTCTTCAGGAAACTCAACACAACCCCCTTCAACCCTGAAATCCCTCAAGGGCCCCTTCAAAACAGTGACAGAACAAGGGGGAATGGCTCTCCACTGCCAGAGGACCGAGTTAGATGAGATTATTAGGGAGAAATTCTTTACTGTGAGTGTTGTGAGACACTTAAACTGGTTTCAAGAGAAGTCACCCCATCCCTGGGGTGTCCGAGACCAGGCTGGACAGGGCTTGGAGCAGTTTGGGATAGTGTAAGGTGTCCCTGCTCATAGCAGTGGAACTTGATCACCTTTAAGGTCCCTCCCACGCCAAAGCAGCCTGAGCCTCCATGAACACACACTAACACACTCCCAGGGCAGTGAGTACAAAGCAGGGTCAGCATCTCTTCCTTGCTCTCTCACCAGAACTGACGGCCACATTTGCAGCGCACGGGTTTAGCATCCGGGTATTGGACTTTAACGACGTGGTGGCAGTCGGGGGCAGGACACCACTTTAACAGTCGATTACACTGCGGAACAAAGCACACATCCCACATCACACAGGAAGGGTGTGCTCAAGGACAGCTCCAGCCCTGCATCCCTTTGTTGTGGCTGCAAACAGCTAAGAAATTCAAACCAAACCCACTGCACCCATCACTCCTGGCAAGGACTGAAAGCTTGATCCCGTAACAGCTTCCGCCCCGGGCTCTACAGGACGGCTGAAGCCACACAACTGGGAAACTGGGACAGTGCAAACATCTTGCAAAGCACCTTTCTCCAAGTTTATTTGGAGGATATAAACTATTAGTATTTTGCCAAAGCACTTTTGCAGTTTTACTTCAACTGGCAAAATGTTTAAGGCACGTTCTTGTGTTTATGGCATTTCCTGGTTTTAAATGTGAAGTATCTCAGGTAACACTCAAGAGTTATAAATATTACATAACTATTATGTAACCATTATAACTACGTAATTCTGTTTCTCAGAACTCAAATATTAAGCAACTGCTCTCACATTCTCTTTAGGTCTTTTGTCCTAAAATTTTTTTACTATTTTCCTACAATTACCCCTGCAATGCAAAGGGCCATAAAACAACCCCTCATTCACACTTGATTAGAGACTATGCAAAAAACCTGCTCTGCAGTTCTAAACAAACCTCCAGTCTGGCTGGCTACATGTGTGAGACAAAACCATTAAAAAATTCAAATAAAAACTCACCTCTACAAAACTATTGGTTATTAAATGCTGGTACTTTAATTTAACCTTGGAATCTGTGATCAGACGCCTGTGGGAAGGAAAGAAACAGAAAAATTCCAGCAGAAATCGTGCTTTTTCCATTTACTGCCAGTAAGTTAAGACAAATAGGTTTGATTCATCCCTCTACACTTGCAGGTACTTTTTGTACTTAACTGTTCTCTATTTATTTGTTACATCATTTATTACTATTAAAACTACATTCATTCTATTTAATGTATAAATATATATATAAAAATATATTAGCTTCAGAAACAGGAAGCTCAAACAGTTCAAAAGAACTGAAACTCTTGGTGCTGAGGATTTTTATTTAAAAATACTTCCCTGAAGAGCACAAGAAACAAAGCAAGCAATTTTATCAGTTCATTTACATAAAACAGGCACATTTTGTGGCAAATCCCTTTAAAAAGCTCCAGAACAACCCTTGTGTGGCTAATAACTTTGGGAAGCCTCATGTTAGCTGGGTTTCAGTGGAATGTTACAGATTCAGCTTAAAAATTAATGGTGTTTTAATCAATTTACCATAAAAACAAAGTTGATTTGAATTCAACATCACTAGGGGTGTACACAACATGGCCTTTAAATTAATTCCAGTCTGCTTGGAACTGGGGGAGCAGAGGAAAACTGACTGATGGGAACCCTTGACAAACGTGGTGACCACTTTTCTCCTGGGCACACCATTCCAGCTGGCATTTGCAGACTGCCCAGCCTAAATGCATCCAAAATAACTTAATTATGGATTGCTGAGCACTTCTAAAAATGTCTTTTAGCTATGACTGAAGTGTCTTCCCAATATATCTAAATATAAAGCTGCACTGACACACCCTTTGTGGCATTCCTGGTTTAAAACCTAGTGTGGAATACAGCTTTAAACAGGTCATACCATGGGTAAATATTGGAATTAATGGATTTTGCTTTCCAGCTGCAGCCAAAACTAAGGGTACTCCTGCATGTTATCCTTACAACACTCCCTGAGGAGCAGTGTGTGCCCATGGGATGTGCACAAATCCCAGCCCTGGGCAGCTGGGGAGCTCCTCTCCCAAGCACATGCTGGTTATTACATAAATCACAGCACGTGGCAGCTCAATTCCCAGGGCTAAAATAAAACAAATCAGCTGACAAAGCATCTCCTGCAATTCTGGAGTCAAACTTACTGAAGAATGAGAAAACAATTTGAATTTAGTATTAATTATAAATCTCTATTTTTTACACCATACCTGGGCTTCAAGACATACTAAACACCTTGAAAATGTACTGTATTATAACAACATATCAGGTACTGGAATTTAAATTAGCAGTCATGCCATGACTAACCAGAGCACATAATCTACTGGTTTTTTGCTTATCAACATGCTTTGATTTCCCCAATCAACATCACCAGGTCAAGATCTTCAAGAATTTTGCTTTGAATATTACTGTCTTTTGGAAAATCACAAATAAAACTAGGCAAATTAAGAGGTGAAATTCATGCCCAGAGCCCATAAATCATATAAATTTTGTGTTCATATCACTTGGAAACTGAGAGCTGGAGACTTTGTAAACAGGAAAGGACTTAAAAAGTAGTAATTAACAGCACAGAAGTGGGTGCAGGTTCCGGTTGAGATAATTTACATTTTTTGCAATATATATTGACATATCCTAAGATTGCCACACTTGTCTATGTTGGCTTTTAAAGGAAAGAGCTTTTTCAAAAAATGCACCTTCCTCCCCACAGAAATCCAGGTAAGACCAGGCAAAGGTGGGTTTTTACCTCTAGAAACAGTTTCTAGCTTTACTCAGACAAATGGGACTTGTTTGCTTTAGCACCCAGCTGCCACTGCCCTATCCCAGGGCTCATCCCTGGCCTCTCCAGCCCAGGGGAATCCCACAGCACTGCCCTCCTTTCCTTCCATCCTTTCCTTGCTGCTGCTGCCACTGCCACCTCCAATGCTTTCAGCTACTCAATTTCACATGCACTGTTTGAACAGCTCATTCCAACTGTTGCAATCAAGAAAACACTCAAAAAAGTCCTGCTGAGAGCGTTTCACTCCACAAATTGAAGTTCAGCCTCTGGCAAACAAAAATCTCAATCAAGTTACTCAAGACATGCCAACTTCAGCTCAGTTTCCACCCACTGGGCTCTACAAACCAGCCCTCAACAGGGCAGAAAAGCATTTCAGCTACTTCCACTTCCATCCAGCCTACACTCCATGAGTAACCAAGAGCCAAAATTGGGAAAGTCGTTACTCTGAAAGCAACTGATAATAAAAAACCACCAAATTAATATCAATGAATGAGTCAGGCTTCAGGAAGGAAAGAATAAGATAACAGAATAAGCCTCTACTGAGATGTTTTAGCAAGAATAATTAAAATGAGCTTGAACAAATTTCAGCATTATGAAGGATATTGCTCATGAAACAACCTCCCTCAGTATAAAAAAGAAGGAAGCTCATGGAGTTCACTGATCCACCAAGAACTATATCAGTCATTCTACAGCTGGACAACTTAATAATCCCAAGGACACAGGATGACACACCACCTTAATCAAATCTTGTGTTTGAGGGTCAACTGCCTCCTATCAGAGGGCAAAAAACACATCCTGCATCAGCCCTTAGGACTCCTGTCCTCTGACTCACCTATTAACTACAGCTATAGGGCTTGGGCAACCACTGGGTTGACCTGGGTACAAGTCCTAAATTCCTAGGTAAACCAAAGGAAACAAAATGCACAAAGCAGTAAAACAGGGTTTGGAAACCCTGGTGTCACACTGACCAAACTGGTCAGGGAGTCTTTCCTCCCAGTGTCATCACACCTGAACAGGAAGTTAAGAGACATCCTGGAATCAAAGCAGACAGCTCAAGGCAGGCTCCTCTGCTGCCTGCAAGCTCCTGTGCAGTTTGTTAGAAGCATTTAAATACATCTGAATAGCACAGGAGTAACACAATGGAAAGAGAGAGCAAAGCCAAGAGTATTACTTACATAACTGTATTGTCGTCCACTAAGATATCACAGCCATGGGCAGGGCATGAAATGGTCTGAAAAACACAGAAGGGTCAGAGGAGGAACAGTGATTATCCTTGTTTTGCATCACAAGGAATTCCAAGGCAACAGACTTCACTACAATCCACAGCCAAAGGAGTGCCCTGCCTCTCCCAGGTGTGCCACTCCTCCCCCAGCCCAAAAACCTGCACCAACTCCACTGAATTCTCTCCAGATTCACCTTAGCAGAGCCTGCAGCCCCCAAACCTTTGGGGTTTGAGCTTTCTCTGCTGTTATTTTAGGTTTTTTTAAACTTTAGCAGAGAGACTCTACCCCGTCTCTCCAATACACTGAATTTCCAGAAATAAGCCATGAGGTTAATTGAGATTTACCTGTCCCATGCCTTCCTCCATTATTTTGGTAGTTAAATATTCACTCCAGCACTGCATACAGAATTTGTGTCCACACTCTAGGCCAGTGAAGTACTGCAACGACAAAGAACACAAGACATGGCCTCATTTTATCACATGGATTGACTCCACAATTCCACCCTTCTTGGTGCTGTGCAGTTCATCCATCCCATCCCTCATTCCCCACACCAAACCTGAGACATTGCTATTCTCCTTGCATCATCACTCCTACAGAACACTGCCAAGGCAGCCTTAGTCACTCTTCCAAAGCCAGACTTTAATCCCCAACCCCAGCAGCAAGGAAAGGTGTGGCCCATGTTTCCATCCTGCCCATTTAAATTTATCCTTGTTTTAGGAGTGTATATGGAGCACAGCATGGCTCTCTCCCATTTTTCCTTGGAAGTCAGTCAAATAAGTGCAACACCAAAGAGGCCACAGTGACAAGGATACAGTCTCTTCATTCCTCCTGTTTTTTCCCCTTGGCACATGTGGGTGCTGCCCGAAGTCCCAGACCTCCCCAGGGAAGTTCCCCCTGCAACCCAGATGCTCATCAGATGAGGACACTCAAGGTCCTAATTGGCAGGTGTAAATTGCTCAATAAAATTCAATAATGATCTGCTGTCACAGACAGCAACAGGGACAACTCCATCCTTGTCTGCATCACCTGCACAGTGCTGTCAAGATATCATCTGGGACTGAGTGGTTACACAAGGGGTGGAGAAGCAAACACTGCTGAGGAAAGAGTGGAACTGAAGTACTTTTCTCTGGTCAGCTGAAAGTTATTTTATACTCCAAGTCAGCACCAAGGAAAACTGTATTTAAAACACTCCATTTGTACCACTACTGAGGTAATTGCTGGCTCAGCTTTTCAAACCAACTTCTCAGCTAGTGAGATAAAACCAGAACTCTACCTTCAGACATCAGCAAACCATGAAAACTCCACACAGGAAAGAACCTGGAACCCTCTGTGGAACAGCCCCAAACAACAGCAGGATGATGGCAACTGAGGAAAGGAGAATCCACTTGAGGCAAATGCTCTTTCCAAGCATTCTCATTCACCACAGATATATTCTGTCCATCCCACAGAGGTGCAGCAGCTGTGCTGTGCCATCCCTGGATGCTCTGGCATTGCCCAGAGCAGGTGCCTGTCAGCAGCCCTTTGCCAGGGCTGGCAGGCTGTGATTACACTGCTGTGATTACACTGCTCTGACACTCCTGCCACCAGCACAGGCTGCAGTCTGGGAGCACCAACACAGCTGAATCTGACCTGAGCATCTGACTTGGTGCCAGGTAAAAATAGAAACATCCACCCCCAAAAAAACAATAAAGAGATCAGAGAGGAGGCTGACACCTATGTGGTGCCAGGTACACCAGCTGCAAGAGTGCAAAAAGATGCCATTGGTTCCTCCTTCCAATAGCCTTGGTACCTGGTAAAAATAGAAACATCCACCCCAAAAAAACAATAAAGAGATCAGAGAGGAGGCTGACACCTATGTGGTGCCAGGTACACCAGCTGCAAGAGTGCAAAAAGATGCCGTTGGTTCCTCCTTCCAATTTCTGAACCCTTACTGAGCCAGATAACAAGGTATCTGATGCTCCACAGATGCTGCTGTGGCCAAATGACATCTCCTGGAGATGCAGAGTTAGAGTAAAAACATTTCAACATCTGTAACTTTTGGGATGCCACAGCATGAAACCATCTCAAAGACTGCACTGGCTTTTCTGTGAATTCTGGCTTCTCCACATGTGATGGGAAGCAAACACAGATAAGGGAATCATCCCTTACTGAACCCAAACATTCCTGAAGCAGGCACACACGAGGAACCAGCACAGAACACATCTTCATGTAAGACCTGTTTTGGTTATTTCAGGCAGGAAAATGCTTTGCTAAATGCCCACAGAAAGGCAGCCACCACCACGCTTCCTCCCAGGCTGCAAGGAATGCAGAGAATCTCTCAGCTCTTTTCTTTACTTTGAGGGAGTTCCCAATTATTTTTGGCTCAGCTGACAGCAGATGTCAAGGGAGCAAGTAAAAAGGCCAACATAAAACCACCAAGGACGGGGGGAGCAGTAACTCCTTAGGCAGCTCAATAGCCCAGGGGACAGCTCTGCTGTCACCCCATCTGTGCTCAACATCTACAGTCTGGACAAAGAAGGACATTCCCAAAAACACCCCCAGCCCACTCTCCTGAGGGTGAGGGGCAAGAGAGGAGGAAGGCAAAGCCACGACCCTCCCAATTACTGTCTTCCCAATAAAGGTGTCCCCTAAAAGAACTGCTGGGACCTGACAGTGCTTGACAGGGACACAGAGTAGGGGAAACATCTCCTTAAATGCTCAGACTTGCAGGGTGAGAGCTTCAAATGCTTTGTTTGGCAGGTGCCTCCCAAAACCTCAAAGCACAGCTCTTTGGAGGTGACTGAAGAGCTACACAGAGACTTTGTAGATGGTGTCTCATGTACTTCAGACTTTCAAGACTAACATTCCTGCAACAACTGTTGCACTGTAAAACTTCTTAATACCTACAAACTCTCAGCTTTCCATAGGCTGAAAGGGGCTCTCAGTGCAAACCCCCACCCCAGGTTTCATGTGGAAAAATAATTAGCTAATTACTGCAAGAGAAATTTTCCAAGCTGGAATTTTAGGCTGGGCATTGAACATGAAAATAATCCTAGAATTTATAATTCACACCGACTAAAAGAGGTTCAAAACAGAATTCAATTACCTTAGACACAGACACTATAGCCTTTTACAGAAGAAATAATAAATACTAGTTTTTCTATAGGCTCCAGCTCTTCTGTAGGGCAAAGAAAGAGCCCCCTTTGTGTCTTTTACCACCAGAAACAGAGAGAGCTCTGCTCACCTGCCACATCTCTCTGCTCCAGCTAAAAATCTGCTCTTCTAACAACTGGGCCACTGCTATTTAAGCTACAAAATCAGGAAGTGTTTGCATGTTTTGTGCTGTTCTTTCCAGTGTCAAAACTCCAGACAATGCTGGGTGTGATTTTAGAGGCTGTTCTGTGCAGGGCCAGGAGCTGGACTCGATGATCCTTGTGGGTCTGTCCCATGATTCTCTGATTCTGCTTCCCAGGCAGCACAGTAGCCCCAGCCAGAGGACAGGCCTGTCACTTGTGAGTTGTACCCCCACCCAGCACAGCAACTATGTTAAAATGGAGAGAACAATACATTAGAATATATTGCCTTTCTTTCTCAAAGCAGCTCATCATACAGAGCAGGAATTTGCCTTTCCAGCTACTCTTCACAAGAAGGAAGTCAGGGCATACAAGAGGAGACATGTGAAGCCTTGTGGTTCCTGGCTGAAGAGCAACAGGGACCTTAATGCTGAGAATGGGAGGCCTGAAGCTGGGCTTGGCTCAGCTCTGTCCACTCCAGGGAAGAAGATCCAGAGCAAGGGGAGGGCACAACCAGGGAACTTCACCCTCCTGAACCCCAAAGCTCAGCACGGTTCCTTGATTAAAACACACCCAAAGCAAGAGCGAATTTGTCAGGGCAGCTTTGCCTGGAAAGGCCCAGCACTTTTTTAGGGTGTTCTGGAAGGGCAGCTCCCCCACAAAGAACAGGTTCCACTAAAGGAAGAATTCCTTACTATCAGCACTTTGACTTCTGATGAACTCTCCTACCTGAGCTTTTCCACTCATCTCCTTTTCTCCCAGGTCTCCCAACAGTATGTCCTGCCCCAGGTGTCCCAGCAGAGCCTGGAGCTCTTAGCAGTGTATGGGAATGCCTCAGTTTGGTCAACAGTGACCAAAGGAAGTAGCACTATCACCCAGAGCATTGATGCAGGGCCCCAGCAAGCACTGGGTAACAGGTCTGACCAAGAGGGTATTGTCCAATACAATAAAGATATCCACATTTTACTTCTACTACTTTTTTCTAGACTTCCTAGTTTGACTGTTTTGCTTTTAAAAGATCTTTCCTACCTTGTCTTTCTATTTAAGTAAATCTCTTTGCCCATCATGCTTTTCACAGATTTTGAATTTCACATATCCTTTATCTGTACACCTCACCTGGTATCAGACCTTTGCAAACATCACCTGCTTGCTTTGTCCTGAACTTTACCACACCACTGCCCAGGCCCCAGCACCCTCAGAGGTAGCGTGCAGGAAAACGTGAAGTTTCAGGTTGGAAATCTGGGGAGTTGCTGCTTAGGTAGTGTTAGAACCCTGAACACTGAGAATTTTAAACTTTCTGTGCTTAAAGACACAGACTTGCAAGAGAGCACTGCATGTGACCTGAGGCTGTGGAGAGGACTTCCAAAATTGATTGACAGCACTGAGATTACAGGCGTGTAATTGGTTAGAAGTGTGTAATATCAGGGTGGAAAATTCAGAATGTAGGGTTTTAGAATATAGAAATAAATATGAACCAAGATGGAGGTTTTAGGGCAGAGGCAAGTTATTCTTCTTTACCTTCTTCTTCCTTCTTCATGGGTTTGGGTGATGTTTTGTAACTGGACAGAGAAGTCCACATTGCAAGCTTCAAGGGATCAGTTATTGGGTTAAAAGGGAAAGTAATCTAGGTGTCATTTCTTAATTGGATAGTTTAGTCTTAAAAGACCTTGTAACAAGAGATAAACATTTTATGCCTTGTTAATGAAATGCTGCTGAATTCATGGTTGTGAGGCTGTTTCACTGATAAGAAACAATAAACACCTGAGTCCAAACATGAACTACCATGTCAATCTACCATCAAACTACCTTCAATCCCAACCTCAAGAAACTGACAGGCCACTGGGTACTCACGGAATTTGGGTAGTTCAGATAGCAGATCTGACAGGACATGTCCTGGGCTGATGATCTGGTGTTCATCTGGCGCGTTCGCGACTTTTTACTTGGATTAATTACGTGACACTCTGCAAAGAGCTTCTCCAAGTTGCCATCAAAGTACCTGCACAACACAGGACAGAATGAAAATTTAAGCACCTTCTAAATCATATTTCCATTCTATGTAGCAGTTAAGTGTACAAAGATGCTTTTTGTATTTCAGAACTCACACACCCACTACTTCCAACAAACCCTTCTCTAACACAACACAGAGGTGAATATTAGACAACGACAGAATTTCAGAGACTCTCACTTGAATTACACACTCCTGAAATACAGGCACCTTCAATTCTTCAGCTGCATTTCAAGTAATTTGTGACTCTCCCAATTGCCTGGCATTAGAATTCCAGGACAGGAAACTAGAGCAAGAACACCTGAGTTCAGTTCAGTTGTGAATGCCACAGTTCAGGCATTCGAACACCTTCCTAAAGCACAGGTTTGATGCCTTCAAGCTCATTTATTTTCAACTGAAGCCTTCCATTTTTCCTAATATTCTGACCCATAGCCACTTGAGCATCTTCTCTCTTCAGTCAACCTGAGGTAATTTTCCAGGTTTACAATGCTTCCAAAGATAAGGTACCTATTGAAAAGTAGGATGCAAAATTGCTTGGGGGGTGAAAAAAGATCACTTCCTTTCTATTTCCTATTCCCTTAAGGAAAAGAATATTGGTTTGCTTTAAAGACTGATAAAAAGCTCTTCCTAGGAGAGGAGAACCAAACTGGAGAGAATCATTATCAGAAAGCTCAGCCTCTTCCCAGAATCCTTCACACACCTTTCTCCAGCCTGCAGCAGCTGCAAAGAACTAATTAAACCAGACAATTAACCAGCCCCATCACATGCACACATCCCCCAGCCAAACCCAGTATGTCATTCCCCTGCTCCATTACAGCTCTACCTACCAACAAGGCTTGATTTATAATTGAAAAAATATAAATTTTCCTGCTGTTTCATATGTTTCTCAATGCAGTTCATGTATTCTGGATCTTAAATTTCAAGACACTGAATCTGGAAGGAAGTGGTGAATTCTGGCATCACAGCATCCACGAGGTTTTGCCACTGTTCTGCAATGTTAGCTCAGGATTTCACTCAGCCAAGTTCTTTTGTTTACTTAGAGGATTTTAGTTAGAAATTTGTATGTTATATTTAAATCTAAATATATAAAATTATATATTTAGAAAATTTTAGCAAGTGAATTCAGTGCAGTCCCATTACAGGCAGTATTTGTTTATTAAGAATCACGCATAAATATTAAGCCCACAAAAGTTTTCCAGCCTTCCAACTGCTCTTAGTGGCAGCAGGAGCAGCACAGGACATGCTCTGAGGAGAGCAGACACACAGCTGGGTGTGAAGTTTGCAAGGAAAATAGTTTTGTATACAAATGCTATGATGCAACTTGAACCCTGATACTCATGACCAGCTAAGTGCTTATGGAAATACCAGAGGTTTTTGTAGTGGTGGGCTGGTTTTAAGGGTGAATATCCACATCAGGAACTTGACTTTTTTCACCTGGAATTACCCATCCCCTTCAAATACCTATGGATAGTACTCCTGCTTCTCCATGCTGTTTTCTTTTCATGCATTTTCTTTCTGAGTAAGTAATTTCCACATTTATTTTTAGGTATGTCTCTCAGACTCATACTCATGCAGCCACTGGGCTGTAAGAACTCCAGAAAATGCAGAGGAAAACTGCACTGTGGATCTCCCTGAAAACACACAGCTCCAATGGATACTCCAAAGTCCAACAGCTCTCCAACTGCTCCACCACTCCTCAGGCAAACATGCCAGGGGCTCAGTCAGAAGACTCTTGCAGTTCCTTCAAAGGTTAGGAACAGCACCTAATTCCAATTACCATCCCTTTTTCCCACCTTTTCCATTATCACCACAGACCAACCATGCAGGAAGATCTCCCTTTGCCCTTCCCATGTTCTTTGGTCAAAGGATTCCCAGGCAGCAGCTCTAACACCCTTCCCTCCTACAGCAGCTGAGCTCCATGTGACATTCACCAAATTCCCTAGCCAGCAAACCTTTTCCATCACCAGTTTCCATTTCCATTCATTCTCCTTGAATCCAAGAAAGCCAAAACACATGCAGTCCCAGTCCTGATCTGACCCTGATCTCACAATTTCACTTAGGTTTCTCCTCCAAATCTCACCTAATGCATTGCAAAGAATGGCTACACTGTTCCAGATCTCCTCCATGTCAGCATTCCTCCTCACTTCCTTTACAACTCCAAGAATTCTGATTTTTCCTCAAATACTCTCTGTTAAAGGGCTGGTTCTTGGTACCTCCATCCTTATTTTCATCCTAGGGAGGAGCACAGCACCTTCAACAGCCCTTTAGATCCTGTGCCCTCCTTTCCCTTCACAATGCAGATACTGAATAATTCCAGCTCTTCTGGCACATGAGAATTTCCTCTATTAATTCTTCAAAGTCCATTTGCTTCATCACAAAGTTGGGGGTTTTTCTGCTATTTTAAAATGAATGGACAAATCACTGTTTGTCCATTATTTTCAAATGTTTCTACTTACCAAGACCAAACCTATAGCAACACCAAGTCTTTCTGGCAGAGGGATCAAGCTGTCAGCCCCTTGATCTCCTCAAAATTCCCTCCTGCTGTTTGTAACTGCCTAATCTCCATTTTCCAGACACAATCAAATCCTACCCATGGGAGTATCAAAGATAAAAAGCCTTTTCACTGAAAAAAAATTGCTTCTAGTACATATTTTGGGATATTTACTTCCATGGAATAGCATTTGTGAGTGTCAATGCATCAAAACACTCACAATAAAAGATATCTCCACATCAAAACTCCTGCCATGCACCATTTTTCACCTGTTCAGCCTCTGCTGAAGAGTGGAAAGTATTTATTTGTTCCAGGGAAAGCAGGCAGCCAGGTTCTGGAGAAGAGGCAATCTGGGCATTCCTGACATCCCTGCTCTGCTCAGAGGGAGGAGGGACATGTGGCCACCAAGATAAGCAGCTACAAGGGACTGCTGGATCTCTGGCTGTGCCTCCAGGGATTAAATCGGGCCTTGGGACATGCTGAGACACTTTTCTCTTAACAAAATGACCAGGGGAAGGCACATAAAGCAGGAGAACTGCATTTTAACCTCTTCATCACACAGAGGTTCCTCCCCAAACTCCCCTCAGGGGAGGACACCATCAGCCATAGCAAAATTGGAAGGTAATAAAGATAAGGTTCAAGTTAAAGCACTTTCTTCACTTGGTTCTGAGGTGATGTGGTCATTCTGCACCTGGTGCCCTCCTATCCCTATGAATCACACCTGCAAGACCCAGGAAAATAATATTTGACATCTTTATTCTAAACACATGCAGCGTATCAGAGGCTGAACTAGTATTTCCTCCACTCATCACTTCCATCCTACAAATAAATGCACCCCAAACCTCCAATTTTGCTTTTGCACACAAACAATTAGAGTTTCACCAGTGGGACAGGGCAGTTTTTTAATTGTGGCTGTTATTACTTTACTGTAACTAGAATAAATATCTGTAGCACATCTGCCCTCTGAACACCACTGTGTAATTACTCCATGACAAAGCTGGCACAGACAGTAACAACCTGCTCATTAAAAACAGGCATAAGAACGCTAAAAAAAAGTGGGAAAACAGAAATTTTCACGTCACAAGCTCAGACCTCCCCACTTATCAAAAAAAGAGAAGCCACTTGGTTGAAGTGCTTTCCTCCAGGCCAGGTCTGATAAGGCTGCTGGGAGGTCGTGCTGACTCACCATGAACTAAGAGAAAACAAGCACTGATTAGGAACTGCAAATAAACACCATCAAACAACAGGAACTTTCACCAAAATGTATATTTTGGGGTTTTTTTCCCCTTAATCTTCACCTATCACCACAGCAATGACCAAACCCTCTTGAAGGCAAGAGCCTGCTCTCAGCCTCCTACCCAGCTTCCTACTCCTGCTTTAACACAGCTCAGCACTCCAGAAGATTTCATGGAAGTTGTTTAGTGTAGAAGTGTCAGAAGGCAGCACCAGGCACTGGAGAGATCCTGTTTTGATGTTTTTCAATACAACAGGACATCAATAAGCACCAAAACTGGGACCAGTGTACAACAGGTCTGCCTAAGCAAGTCAAGTATTCTATTATTCACAGGGGTAATCCTGCTGAGTTAAGTATTTAATGAATATGTTTACCTATGGATTTGTAAATATAACATGTACTTAAACTGTAAAAGCCTTAACAACAATACCTCACACTGACCTGGCTGGCACCTCCCTTGAGAGAAAAAAAAAAAAGGGCAAAAACAAAAGCACAGCCCTATTTTTTATTTTTAAAATGATGGCAGCCCTAAACAAACTTTCAACAACAAGGGACAAAACCTACTGTACCAAAGGGATGGCTTTTCAGTGCACTCATGTAGAGGTATCTCCCAGCCAAGGAGAGTGAACTTTACCCCAATCAAAACCAAAAGAACCAGAAACTCAAACACCAAGTGAGCAGACATGTTGCAGAGCAGGTATTAAATCAGAATTCTTAACAGCTGTAGTTAGAGTTAAATAGTGGGTATATTTGTGACACAAAGTTTTCAGACTTCCAACATTTACTAAAAGAGGTCAGTCTCAGGAAAATAAGGACTAGAAAGCTGTAAAAAATACAATCACTTCAGAAAAAAAATCTAGGTTAAACAAAACAGAAGATATATCTGAGCACCATCACTAACCAAAAATATTACACAAAGGGCACTAATGATGTCCTAAATCCATTAGCCAAGGATAGCACAAATATTTATACTCCAAAATAATTACTAACAGTGTGAAAACCTTTGCTCCTCTTCCCCTGGGTGACAGAGTACCAAACTACAGGGGCTCAGCCCCAAGGTCAGTGAAGAGACATTTATCAACTCATAGGAGCACCAGCAACTGCTCCTGGTTTACCAAGCACATCTCATCTTCTCATACCCTGATTATCAGGCAAAGGAAATGGTAATTAAGGGAAAAGTCAAACTAATGATCCCACCAGGCCCTCCACAACCATTGGTCACTTCACACCAAGTAAGACCAGCACAACCAGCAAGTCCCTGTACAGCTTTTACTGCTCTTTTTGGTCCAGATTAATTCTCCTCCCAGTTTCTAAAGTAATTTAAATTCTCCAGCTCCCTCAACTCTCTTCAACACCAACACTGGCATTGGAATGAACCAAAGGCAGCTGGAGTTGGTCTCCAGTGTATAACAACAAACTGAGAAGTACATTTATCAAGCAGCATTCCAAGAGCTGGGAATCAAAGACGGGAAATAACCATAAAACACTCTGCTCTGAGGGGGAGGGAGAGGCAAAATTCAAGCCATTATTTACACACCCTAAAGAAAACCTGGAGCTGTGGAGATGAAGACAAGGCAGGACCATTATCAGCCAGGAACTATTTAGCCTTGGCCAGAGCAGCAAATCAACATGTCAGGAATACACATGCCAGCATGACAGGCATGAGCAGCTAAACCCAAATCCAAAACAGCTGCTAGATAACAAGAACCTGTTCCTGCTTGCTTTTTTCCAAAGCCTGCCCAAAGCCTGTACATGTTCAAACTGGAAATCCCTCTTTCCAATGGGCAACATAACTTCCACAACTTTAAATCTAACCAGGCATCAATAATATTAAAACAATGAGTCACGAGTCACCCTTAGCTGGGAAAGGGAGAACATTTAGAGCTTACACAAAAGATTCTCCTGCCACACACTGTGCATTCATCCATCCTCACTTGATCCAGGAATAAGCTTTTTTTTCCAGCTCTCCAACTGCTTACCTCTCCATCAGCTTCTCCTTATCCCAGTTGAAATGGCTAAGCAATATTCGAGTGATAGTCGCTGGATTCTGGAGAAAGAAGAGAAAAACAATCAATAATTGAGTAACCAAGCCAGAATGAGAACACCAGGCAGAGCTTTGAATAGGCAAAGGGAAAATCAGGGTGTCTGATAACATCATCTGTTCAGACAATACATGTTTACTGGCATGGACTGGGAAATAGCTGGACTTGACAGACAAATTTAAAGGGGAAAAAAAACCCAAACCCAACTCTATAAATCCAAGCACATATATATATATATAAATCCAAATCCATATAAAATGAGAATTTGCTTGAAGATTTAAGGACCAGACTAATTACACCTACCACAGTGCCAACATCTCCACATCCAGCATGCCCACACAATGCAATTCCAGGATGTCTGTAAAATGCCGGAAGGGTTGATTTCTACCCATTATATCCATTTTTGCCACAATCTCCACACTACCTGCAGAGCAAGAATAATCCAGCCCTGACCATCAAAACACTTGGGCTGAAAACTGTCCAAGAACACAACTGGCTACCAGTGTAAGATGACAAAGTTCTTGGAAGACCTCAGAAATTTCTGAAGCACCATCAAATCCAGAAAAAAACTCAGGGCAGCTAAGGAAAGAAAGCTAAGGAAAGAAATACAGTCTAGAAAGGTCAGAAGGAAGGTGGAACATAAGAGCTGATTTTCACTCCTGTACAAGTTTTTATTCCAACTAAATCTGAACCATCAGCCAAGAGTTTGATTATATGAGAAACACACCAGACCATATGGCTTCTGTTACACCCCAGAACTGCGTTTTAGCTCTCCAAATCCACTCTCTGCGCTCAGTTTTAGGACCATTTACATGCAAAGGAGACAAGGGGGGGGGCTGCCTGAGAGTGGCTGTGTGTACTTTGCCATTTGACACCAAAATGGAAGTTTGCCTCAGGGCCAACGTTCAATGGGCGCTCTGAAGCTGTTGAAAAGTAGGACATAAACCAGCAATGTGATTTCCTGAGCCCTGGAGCTACAGGCACAACCTGATGCTGCCAAAAGCCAATGCTGTCACCCACAGCAGCGATGCCACCCCATCCCTGCATCTCCTGCCCTCACTAGCCCATACCACTACAGCCATTTTATGCTGCAAATAATGGCTCAGAAACTCATCTTCTCTTTTCCTTTAGGTTGTTTTTTTCATGGAATCAGTTCTCCAATCTATTTGATTGCCTGACCACACGAACAGCTGCATTAGCACAAGGTGGAAAGCAGGACAGCCTCTTTCACCACCACCACCAACAAAACCTTCACTGAAATAAAGCCCTCGGGTGACAATGTAATAAGCAGAAAGAACCAGTCTTGTGGTTTATACTATAAAAAGTGACACTCCTCTCCTTCTACAGTGTGTTCTGACTCTTATTAATGCCAGATTGTTTAAGGCCAAACTAAGAATTTTTTTCCAGCTTAGAAAGCCCATGTGAACCAAAGCAGCTATAGAAAGGTTTGAGCAGATCCCTGATGGAACCCCAGGAACAGCTGGGACAGCAGATCTACACAGTAAGGGGCAGGAGATACCAGAAATGGGTATTGCATGGTCACAGTGTGGTTCTGGTCCATATCTGAACCAGTCTCCCAGGTGAGAGGGATCCAAGCTCTTCCCTGCAGCAACACAAGGTGAGGTGCCTGGCTGACAATCACATGTCACCAGCATCCCTCCCTCAGCCAGCCCTGCAGAGGGGAGCAAGCAGCTCAACTCTTTTAAGTCAGTCCTGCCAACAAGAAGCTCTGTGAGAATTTAAGGGTCTCCTTCACCCAAAGGTTCATCCAGCAGCCTCTTGTGGGGTTCAGTTTCTGATCTTTTCAGGTTATTTTGTATTTGGATCTCCACAACAACCTTTTCTGTAACTCTGGCTGTACTATGTAGGAGTACTTTAAAGGAGTTCTTAAAAGCTCACTTAGACACAATTCCTGGAGCAATTTAATCAAAGATAAAAATATACCTTAGTAAATAAACCAATCTTATCTCTAGATTATCTTGGTTATGATACCAGCCCCTGTAATTCTCCAGTTATGAATTTCAGATAGCAAAGCACACAGCCCTTCAACATAAGGAGTCTTCACTCAGCCCAGAAATCTGCCAGATGTACAAGGAAACACATTTTTCTTCATTTCTCAAGCATTGAGAGAGCTTTAATTAAAATCAGCCCAAAGTCTTGTCCTATCTCCTACTACAGCACACACTTGGCCACTTATTAAGGCTTCTGGGAATACCTGTTAATCACTTAATAGGCTAAGAGGCAGCTGAGGTAGTGGTCTCTGGCTGACTTAAAAAAGACAGAAGGTTTCCCCTGCACTGAAGTAAAAACTACAGCACATTGATAAGAAACTCCAACAGTCTGCAGTGATTATTAAGCAGAACAAGGCTGATCCAGCAAATACCACTCCCCAAAGGAGATGTGGCTGGAAAGGACAAGGGGGTTTCATCTGTGGCTTCTCCATTTTCCCAACACACAGGCACTGCAGCTTTCTCAAAGCTCCCCTAGGTCAGAACCCCCAGGTATCCCAGCACTGCAAGGTGAGGGTACAAACTGGACATTATTTAGGATTATACTGTTGACTCTGTGGCACTATCACCTTCTCCTGGATTGCTGGGCTCCAGCTTCCTCCTGCACTGTTGGTTGAACATTTTAAAAAAGAAAGGAAACGCCAGCAGCATGACAAGCTCCCACCAGAAATAGCTGGGCTGCCTGCTTTCACTGCCTGCCACATCCCAGATGTAGCATTCAAACCTCCCCTGGCTGTTTCCCAGATACAGAAGGCAAGAATTAACACAGCCCTGCCCTTGCTCATCCCTGAACAGGGATACAATCTGGGCTGGAGGCACCCAGAGAGCACAGAAGATTGGGAGGAAGGCAACGAAGGGGCAGATCAGAGTAAAATACAAATGCCCAAAGTTCTGACATGAAGGATTGTTCCAGTCTAAGGCCAGGCACACCACCAAGGAATGCACACATGTCCCTCACAGTTATTCCAGAGCAGTGCTGGAGGAGTCAACCACAGCACCCACCCCGGTGAGAGCTGTGCCCTGCACCTCAGGCACAGAGGGTTAAAACACCACCAAAATAACATCCTATTTCAACACCAGCTCCACTCCAGCTTTCCACCAACCTTCAGCCATCACTTTGGAAACTCATGTAAAAATTAATGGAATGTCCAAATCCTGGGTTACACAGCACTGGGAAGGCAGGGGCTCTGTTCCTCCTCGTTTGGCACACAGGATTATTTCCTACAACTGACACCACACAGATTAGTCATAACTCTATGCAGGCTCTGCTGCTGCTCCGACGGGATTATTCCCGAGGCTGCGAGAGCACGCTCCTACTAAGGCTGTTTTCTGTTTACAGAGATGAATTTTCCTACAGAAAGCACCCAGGGATGGACAGAGAGCAAGGAACAGGCAACACGTTCTCCTCCAAACGTGTCTGATGAAAGCTGAAACAGCAGATCTCACTTACAGCAGCCTCCTATTAAATTTTACATGTCGGAGCCGAGGCAGATTGCCTGGAGCCGAGGGCAGCAAGCCTGTTGATATCCAGATAGGAACAAACCCGAGGAAGCAGCCATTTTGTTGAAATTCTCCGGGCACTTCAAAAGATTTCCTAACAAAACATTCAGAATAAAGCTCTGCCCAGAGAGAAACACCCTCAGTCCTTCAGCAGGGATTTTTTTTTTTTTTTTTGGAGGTAACAAAGCAACCAAGTCCCACATATGCTTCAAACAAATTCCACTCCACCACAGCTTTTCACTGGACGTATTTACATTTACTGTCCTTATCTATGGTGCCATGCTCCAGCACACCAATGCAAGCAGGAGATACAGCAATAGGAAGCCTTACAAAGGTCTGGACTTCACCAAAGCAGCATTATTAATTCAAATAAAACTCCTTAATTTAATAGAATTTAATTCAACTGGAAGCTTCATCAGTGATAAGAATTAGAATTCTTTTTGCTGTCAAAATAAGAAAGTACGAATCGGAAGGAAGAATCTGGATGCACTTAAACGCACAAATTAATTATAAATTAAATATTATTGGAACATTAGCTTGAATCAGAATTTCCAAGCAGCACAATTTGCTGAATGACAGTTGGGAACACTTGATCCATTCATGTTTCCATCCATCAAGACAAGCTGCATGGTTAATTCTTGATGTTATTACAAAGAAAAGCACATTTTACAGTTCAGCTTCTCCTCACATGCTGGGAATCAGTTCCTGGTTCAGTTTCAGCATTTACTGCAAATAAAAACCATTTAAGAACAACTTAAGCTCAGTTCTCCAGCAAAATCCTCTCACACCTCCTGGAGACATGATATTGATAAATTCTTTGTTTTTCTTTCCACATCATGGCTGGTTTTGTTTTCTACCCATGGTAGCTTCTGCAATCCAAAAGTTTTCATCTCAACTGCAGCACCTCCATCCCAATAACAGAGGCTTTTACAGCAATAAGGAATTGATGCCACTTCCAGTTGGGTTTTCTACACAATTGCTTTGCCCTTGTGAATCCAAGCAGATGCTCCAGAAACCCTGACTTTGCCCAAGTCTCAGAAGTCTGTAGAGGGTTCAGACCTCAGCAATGTCCACTGCTGTATTCCACGGGGACACAAGGCTGGGTTTACATTTCCCAGCAGAAGGAAACCCATGGTTTCACATCAGCTGACAAGACTGAGGGTTTGGCTTGGTGGAGGAGCAAAGAGCCACCACAAGCTAATGCTGGTCTGAAGCCAAGCAGCACAAACATCTGCTCCAGTGAAATGGCACCTGGGGACAACACCACTGTAAATATTTAATCAGCCAAACCTCCAGTGTTTGCAACAGAGCACCGAGTGGAAACTCCTGCTGCCCAGCATCTCCAAGGCTTGTCACGTGCACTGTGCCATGGGAGAAGCACTGATAAATAACCCAGAGGTCACGCTTAATAGCAGTGGGGAGAGGAGAAGGAACCCCACCATGAGACTGTGACCAACACCAGACACCAAAGAGCTGCTTCATCACATCATTACCAA